ATATGACTTGAGATTATAAGATTTTGAAGACAGCAACAAGTGAGAAGACGAGCGAAGATTTCTAGCAGATTTGTGAACGCTGATGAGTTCCTTGAGGTAAACAGGAGAAAGACTATGAAGCGATTTAAATGCTAGTAGAATTATTTTAAACTTAATACGTTCAGCAACAGGAAGCGAGTTTAAATCGATAAGGACAGGAGTGATGTGATTATGTTTCTGAGATAAGGTAACGAGAAAGCAGAGACATTTTGAACAGTTTGAAGTTTGTCAATAAGATGCTTGGGAAGACCAAAAAGTAACGAATTGCAGTGATCAAGTTTAGAAGTTATAAACGCATGAACAAGAGTTTCAGTGGTCTTGAGGGAGAGGAATTTTCTGATTCTAGTAATATTTCGAAGATGATAGAAGGCAGATTTACGGGTGTTATTAACATGAGGCACCATAGATAAGCAGGAATCAAATATTACCCCAATGTTACGTGCATGAGATGAAGTGGTAATCACGTCAGAACCAAAATGAAGAACAGGAAGAGAACGTTGTGGCTTGTGCTTTGAAGAGAAGATCAGGAATTCAGTCTTGTCTTTGTTTAACTTCAGTTTGTTTAAGTCAAAAAAAAAAAAAAATCAAAAGACAAAAAGAAAGAAAACTTTAAATATAAAAAGTGGAAGAGGTTTCAAATATATAAAATGGAATATTCTTACAGATCCGTTTAGTTTGGTTCAATGCTTTCTTGTTTTAGGATTACGTATCATTCCCGAAATTGTATCATTCCTTTCTTTAACGTTTCACTTGAAAAGATATGACGAATAAGGATTCAACTCAAAAAAGGAAATTAAATGACACGGGCCAAAACCATTACGCCCAAGCTGAATGCTTTGTATGCTTTAAGTCTTAAAAGACTTCATTGATAAATAAATAGACGAAGATCATCATAAACTTTGCATTTATTTGTGATTATACATCAATGCTTAGATACCAACTGACTATCATAAATCCTCTATAACAGCAATTTGCTTTGTCGATACTGAATTAACCGTACGAATGAAAACCACCGCACATCGGTTTAGTAATCGCAGGAGATGGGGGACTAGCGGTGTTTCCATCTCTCTTCAAAAGCATCGGTGGCATGGATGGCGTGGGTGGCCCTTCAATATCAGGACATAAAGTCCCATATGGTAAACTCTCACCAGCCATTCCGGACTCTTCTACGCTAGGTGTTGTAGTAGGTAATGTTTTGGTGGTAGGTTTATTTGCACTTGTGACAAAATTTGTCGCTTGACTTGTGGAAGTTTTTCCTGTTTGTACTGCAGACGCTGCAGATTCTACTGCGTCTCCTGGAACAGCAACTGCAGTGGGCTGTGTTAGGTTGTCAGGTTCCTTCCTCCTTGTGGCAGGGTTTATCCTATGACTTGTGGACGATGTTTTTCCTGGTTTTGCAAAATCCACGGAAGGGACTGTTTGAGCAACAGCTGGCGTTGGTATAGCTGTCGGGGTGGTAGGCTTCTTTTTCCTTGTGGCAGGGTTTGTCGTACTTGAAGTAGGAGGACGTTTTGTTTTTACTGCAGACGCTTTCACTCGGCTTGTTTTTCTTGATCTAAATAAAATTTTGAATAGAAAAGTGAATTAACACGCATGACAGTTATTGAGTTTACATCAAGCGAGGAGGGTGTAAAAATCCTCGATTGGAATTGAGCTACATCTTTATCTTGTTAATCTATCGAATCTACCTACATACCTACCTACCTACCTACCTACCTACCTACCTACCTATCTACCTACCTACCTACCTACCTACCTACCTACCTACCTACCTATCTACCTACCTATCTACCTATCTACCTACCTACCTACCTACCCACCTACCTACCTACCTACCTACCTACCTACCTACCTATCTATCTACCTACCTACCTGTCTACCTATCTACCTACCTACCTATCTACCTACCTACCTACCTACCTACCTACCTACCTACCTACCTACCTACCTACCTACTTACCTGTCTGCTTGAGCTACCCATCCATCCATCCATCTTTCTTACCTTCTCCTGGTATTCTTTCTGCACCACCATCTCTTGCATCTTCGCCATCTATTTCTTTTATCTGGCAATTCATCCTCGTTCTTCTTTAGAACAGTCCCGTCGAGACTTCCTGGTTTCTGTAGAGCGTCGATCAATGAAGAGATGCTTTGATGTTTGCTTCGTTTGAGTAGCTCACCATCTGGACTCTTTAAACCTTCCCTTTCATCAAGGGATTCAACTAATTTTAAAGAATATTTTTTAAAGTCAGAGACAAACGACACTCATTTTGAATCGGTTTCCATTTGAGCAGAAAATCTTCCCATTATCTTGATGTCATACGAGACGATTTGCAACTAGATTTGTCTTGCAACTTTGCGCAAAATGGCATCTTACTAGTTATAAGTTTGCGCGCAATAGCGTTGGTTGAAAGATCGTCGACAGCGTTGGAAATCGCCTCGTGTAACATCGCCTCTACTGAAAAACGATAATTCATTGAGTATTATTCCTGCATTACCAGCAACGCCAGCGAAATGACTCTACGATTAAACGAAAACATGTACTCGGATCTTGATATCTTTTTCCAAGGTAATCAAATTAATTTTTTAAAATCAAAAATTTGTAACAAAAAAATTAATATTACCGTCATCATTGATTGGAGCAGAAATGAGATATTGAAAAGAAAAGCCCGCCAAAATCATGAAGAGAAATATGGCCTTCATATTTCTTACTCTCCAAAGTACGGACACCAAATGCTTTCAATTATCGAATCTCTCTTTATACTTGTTACTGAGTTCAATATTATTATATATATTACCACATGTGGTCAAGCTTTACTCACTTCTAATATATCAATTTTGGCTCAAATCGGGTTATTGGAGAACTTGCTCTATATGAGGCGTTCATTGTAGTTACTTTTAATTTATACTTTTTGTACAATGAAAGAAAACACCTTGAAAGAAGATCTAGAGGAGAAGGAGGACAAACAAATGATGATAATAGTGATGGTGTTGGTGTTAGTGGAAGTTTTTTTTCCTTTCTTTGGTAGAATGAAAGAAACACATTGAAAGAAGCTAGTGGAGGAAGACGACAAAAAAATAAACATAAAAGAAGAAGAAGAAGAAGAAGATAAAGAAGATAAAAAAATAGAAGATGATGATGATGGTAGGGTTGGTAGTTGTGGTGGTGGTGAAAGTTCTTTTTTTGGTAGAATGAAAGGGAACATATTGAAAGAAGTGGTGGAGGAGGACAAATAAGTAAAAAGGAAAAGGAAAAGAAAAAGAAAAAGAAAAAGAAAAAGAAAAAGAAAAAGAAAAA